CGGCGATAATCTCTGAATTAACAAAAGAAAGAGATGACACAAACACGATAGTGCTTTAATTCCATGATATATTATTTTTAATTGTATATTATTCCCTTGGATTAAGCTATTGTTGTATTTCTCTGCATGCCTCTCTGAAGCTTCCCAGAATACTGACAGTGAGAACTTCACAATGGAAATAATAGAAGTGTGCAGTATTTAGACGGTTGTACATAAAGTCTCTTCACCTTGACCTCTATCTCTTCCCACAGGATTCGGTTCGCCTGAAACAAGATGTTTTCTGTGATTACTTTGTGCATTTGTACTGTGATAATAGCTGGTATTTACAATCTGTGTTCAAATTCAAACCTACACTCTTCATGTGGAATAGTTCCTCTTATTGAGTGAACACCAATTATGGGACTCAATTTATAGTTTGGTTTTTGATCCGTCCTTCCAGGGTGGTGCCCCGTTATTAATAACATTTATTAAGAATGGCATTGACATTAATAATTTCATGAATGTCAGTCATTTAGTGCTCATACTTGCATGTGACCAAACAACTTCTAATTGTGAGATTCATTACAAAGCCGACAGAGAGCAGACAATCCATGAATGAAACGGCACATGAAGCACATCCATCAGAGGGGGAGGAGCTTCAGAAGAGCCCCGCCCTCCAGGGATGAGGAGGATTTATGAAGCACTTTCCTCATTTTTACTTCTGCTGTATCTTTATTATACACATCTGATGTCTTTGTCCCTCCTTTTAACAACTTACCTGTAGAGTTTGTTTTGGATAATGTTTCGGCCAGACCGTTCATTTGCATCTCTTCCAAAACCTTCATGGCCACATGAACGGAGTCTGTGTCGTAGCACTGCACCATCAGGTCCACCGCGTCCATCCTGTCTGCGTTCTCCAGGTCACAGGGTGGGATTGATCGGGAGTCTTCCAGGCTTAAATGGGTCCTCAGGAACCATTTGAACTGTTTGAACTCGGGATCCTTGAGCTGCTTTAACGTTTTGATGAGGTCCTTCTTGACTTTCTCCATCTGTCCTTTTTAAAAACACCCAAATAAATATTAACCGTAGAGAACAATCACTGCTCTGCACTTTGGTTTTGAAACACAATGAAATAGAATTCTTCTCCCTCTTTCTAAGCACCTCTGATGAAGTCAGCGTCCTCTTTGTGGAAACCAGTTGGATGAATCTGTGAATATTGGGGAAGAGCGAAGGTGGTTCACAGCTTCACCTGCAACAACAGTAATGCCGTGTCATTTGCATTCAAACAAAATCAATTCATAATCAAATAATCATTTTGGAGGAAGTTAATGGAGCCAAATCCAGGGCAAAAGTTTTGTTCTTTTGAAAAAGAAAATTGAACCTGAAAGTTTGAGTTTTGGTCAGGAACATCGAATATACAAAAAGAAAATATGTTTTCAAAATGAAAATAACTGAATGAACAGAGTTTTTCATTTATATCATTTTGAATCAGTTCTTGAACGGTTTTGAATAAGTAATATATTTTCATTCTTCTCTTATATATTTTTGGGTATTTGGGTTTTTATATTCATATTTATTTCATACATTGTATTTATATTTTCAGATTCAAATCTTACATTTGCAAGTGTCAATTATTTTACACATTTTGTATTTTCTTCAATTTCAGACTTTTGGCCCTGATATGTCTTGGGGGGCGGGGCCTCAACAGAGGGGCGGGTCAACATGAGTGACAGCTTATCAGAGACTGATAGCATCGTTAGCATGTGCTAGCTAACAGTCAGCTTGAAAACATACAACACACGAACTGACCAAAGACGACTTTCTCCCCGAGCAGTAATGTCTATGGAGACAAAGACTTTTACACCAAAGTCAGAGAGACATTTGTCCAGTAAACCGTTACAAGGAAAGGTAAGACCATGCATACATTACTGTATACAACAAAAATAAAAGACCTAATGATAATTGAAAAATATTAAACAAGATTTAAGCAATAAGGAACGAGAGGCTGTACTTTATTTACGTACGATAATAATGTCCAAGGGTGTTGTTGGCAAACCGTATTGCTTTTATAATAATGTTGCCTGCTGGACCATCTCATAACATCACATCGCTCGTGACGTCGACCTGAAGTGTCCTCTTGGGCTAAAAGGTGTCTTAAAACTGTTGCCTCTCAGGACACCTTTTTTGTGATGTTTCTGATTTTTGTGGTGTTTCTGATTTTAATGCGGCGATCGTCAACAACAACCAACAGTCGCGCAAAATCCAACTGTTGTTTTGAGTGCGCAGTGATGTGAACGCTGAGGTCAATGTAAACCGGTACATTATGGCTCAATACACAACACCCAGTGACTCACTCTCAACCAATCAGAACGCTTGATTTCATCTACCTGTTTTATAAAAGAATATACGATACGGAACATGAAACATAACCAGTAGTCAATGTGCAAGCAGCCAGTTGAATGGTGAATTTATGCTACTGAATTCATAGATTTGTGAATGTGGGTGTGAAAGAGTCAGATCCTCCCGGCCACCAACCTCACGTCACCGGCAAAAAGCACAACTCTGCTGTGCCTTTGCACGTAAACATGTTGAGCCAGTAATCATCTACGTTACGTATCAAACATGGACAGGTTAAAATCAAGATGTTGCTGGACTTTTGCGCTGCTGACGTCACTACACCAGCTGCGTTGTCAGCGTGATCCGCGTCAAATTCAACGTCAAAATGACTTGATGATGAAACGATCACCGACTTGAGGAATTTCTCCAAACTGGATTTTAATTCCAAGAAGAGTTGATATAAAGAGGGAGTCAGTCACTGTACTGCGATCCCTGCTGGCTGTTTTCATCCAGTCACACTGGAGCATGAAAGCATGAAAAGTCATCAAACGACGCTGAAAACCTTCAGTAAAGCTCGGATCCACTTTGCACTTGACGAGCAAAGGAGACTGAAGATGAGTTACACAATGAAAAGGTAAAGGAACACCGAGAGGAATGGAAAGATCTGTTTCATTCACTGGTGAATATGGTGTATAGCTATATGGTGTATTGACTGAAGGAGCCCACCAGACCTGGATCTGGTTCTGGGTTCAGAGACTCGACCTCTGTCTGATGACCTCAGAGGCCCCATCGGCTCGGATCCATAGTTTCAACTTCTCACTCAAGATCTGTTTATTTGTCTGAAAGTGTGTGACGTTATTGTATTATTTGAACATTTATCGCCTCTCTATGTGGGCTTTAATTGTGGATATTTGAACATCTAAAACAGCTTTAACCCTCTGGCCTGAGGTATTTTACAAAACCAGTTGTACCAGATGGGTGTGTGTTTGTGTGATAGTACACATGTAAATGTGTGTGGGCAGGTTTTTCTACATTGTTGGTGCGGTTATGATCAGTGAGACTGATCTATGAAGAGCTTATCTGCACTTATTCTCCAATAATTAAACTAAACTAAAGAAAACACAAACACATTGAAACACTCTAAAAGTGACTAAATGTGTTTAAAGCAGATGAAGCTTTGTGGACTTAAAGGACTGAAGCAGCAGGTGAGACAAACAGAGCGTCTCTCAGGTGTGTTTCAGGAACAAAGGCCCAGGTGAGCTCTGTGGTCCCTGCTGGGTCCTAGTGCCCCTCCGTCTGCTACCTTCCCCTCCTCATCAGTACCAGTCCTCACAGACCCCAGATCAGACTAAGCTCGTCTTCTTCATCACAGCGTCATCATTCAGACCAACAGCAGCTCCTCTCTGCCTGCTCACACAGGCGCCATCTTGTTTCCCAGCTTTAAACAATCACACGTTCACGACCATCAACGATGTCATTCCACCAATCACAGCTGCACTTACTGATCTTGTAGACATGAACTTCCTCAGTGAGCAGCTCTCTTCTGTCCTCAGCAGGTCCGTGTAGAAAAGGAGCTCCGTGCTTCACTTCAGCTTCCATCAGACGGAGTGAAGTGACGCTTGTTAGAGCTTCTTATCTTTTATCAGAGAGGGTGCGTCCTCACGTCAGGACCATCCAACCATCAAAGTATGCAGTCTGACTGGTTGACTGAGTGTCAGTCTGAGCTGCGTTCCCGGGGTCAAAGGTAACCGTAAACAGAATCGTCCTCACCAAGGACCAAAACCAGCATCTGTGGAACGATCCTTTCACCTTGTAAAGAGTTGCTATGACAACAGACTGGATGCTGTAGTTGGGACCAGAAGGTTTAGAGCACCCGTGAAGAGTTTATGTTGAATAAAAACATCCACTAAGACAAGCGAGTCTGAGCTGAGAGTGTTTTTATTCTTCACTCCTCTTTGATGATCTGGTTGAACCTGTTGGGGCGGAACAACTCACCCACGTATCAGTGTGACGCTGCGTGTTCAACCATTTACCTTCATGACAAACTGCAGCTGTACAAAGTACTTGTTACACGCAGTATTCAACTCGTACTACATTCATACTACTTCCTCATCACATGGCAGCTTGAACCCTCTGACTCATATATCTGCTGTGCAAAGGATTGTGGGTAAGAACAGCTGGTGAAGAAGCCTGCTTGCGGACTATACAATGTGACCTAATGAAGAACACAAAATTACTGCAACTCAAAATGCTTGTTAATATCTTGTGGCCCCCACGTGCTTGTCTGCTCCTAAGGAGACAACGGATGGCGTCTTGTTGGATCTCCTCCCAGACCCGTCTGAGGGCATCAGTGAGCTCCTGAGGAGTCTGAGGAGCAACCTGCTGTCGTCTGATGGACCCAAACATAATGTCCCACAGGTGTTGTTCTTTTTCGCCCCGCTGCTCCCATTAGTCCCTCCAGAGTCTCACTTTGAGTCCCACGAGTTCAGAATGATGAGTTGTCGCCTCCTGGTGGCCGAGGGAAGAAGGACGTGAGCTACGTCCTCGTCTCAAAAATACCAGAAGACAAAACTGTGCAGTTTTATGATTATATATAAATATTATATTGTATGTTTGTTTCTTACTAAATGAGTTTATTCATTTGTGCTTTTCGAGACGTGACATTAATGAGACTGAGACCTTTCTTCAGATGTGAAGACGTTCTTTTATTGGACACGCAGCGAGCTCCCTCCGCTGTCTGTCCCTGGGAGACAAAGTCCTCCAGCATCAAAGCGTCCTTCACGTTTCATTCGAATGTTGTTTATAAAGAAAATACGTAAGTTTCAGTTTCACAAACAAATCATCTAAAAAAAAACAATAAACAACGACTCACATGTCAGAGGTCAACGACCACGAACACTTCACGAGCCGATCTGAGCTCTTTGTAGCTTTATTGTTTCTATTTAAAACAACTAGAAAAACAAAAAGGTGAATATTGCGACCAAAATATTAAAGCGGCACAAAAACAGATTTATTTATTATACTGATTGAATCAGGAAATGTTTATTTTAAACCGAGTCAAAGAAACATGTTTTTCTTTCTTTCTTTCTTTTATTTCGATGTATTATTTGTATTTGTATGTAAAAAGCACTTTGAATTGCCTTTGATTGTATTAAAACTGAACTCTTATTTAACTGTATTTCTCAGTAATGACGTTTAAATATGTTTATCCGTTGCTGCTTCATTTAATTATTCTAACTAAAGCAGCTTTATTCATTTGTTCATTAAACACAGCGTATTATTCAGTAACACTAATACACACAATACACAACAGAGCTTCTCAACGTGTTGTGCGTTTCTGTTTGTGTATCAACAGTGTTTGTTGTTCACGTGTCACATGACCGCGTGTCTCCATGTTTACATCCATCAGGTGCTGACTTCCTCGAGCCGCTGGACGACCGCCGCCGCCACCTTCCTGTAGGCCTCCGCCTACACACACACACACACACACACACACACACACACACACAAGCAGAAAACGTTCCTTTGTCACTTTATTCCTCCGTTAATCCTTCATGTGGATGAAATGATTGATCAGAATAAAAGAGTGAGGCTCTTTTACTAAACAAACTTTCTTAAATAATATTGAAGTCGTACTGAAGATTATGAATTACAGATTTCCTGATGTAAAACATGTTGTGAAGTATTTTCTTTTCATTAAACTTTGGAGATGAGAAAGTTCTGGAATCATTGATGATTTCTGCATGAATCAAACCGTTCAGCACTGATCAGGACGTGAGATCAATAATCTGCAGCATTCAGAGACCTCGGGGCTGTCGGGAGAAGACACCACGACGGGTTTCCCTTCGTCAGACGTCTCTCTGATGTTCAGATGAAGAGGGACGTCCCCTGCACACCAGAGACAGGGACGTGAGAGACATGAACGTCAGAACCAGAGACATGGACGACAGAACCAGAGACAGGGACGACTGAACCAGAGACATGGACGTCAGAACCAGAGACGTGGACGACAGAACCAGAGACATGGACGACAGAACCAGAGACAGGGACGACAGAACCAGAGACATGGACGTCAGAACCAGAGACGTGGACGACAGAACCAGAGACGTGGACGTCAGAACCAGAGACGTGGACGTTAGAACCAGAGACATGGACGTTAGAACCAGACACATGGACGTCAGAACCAGAGACATGGACGACAGAACCAGAGACAGGGACGACTGAACCAGAGACATGGACGTCAGAACCAGAGACGTGGACGACAGAACCAGAGACGTGGACGACAGAACCAGAGACATGGACGTCAGAACCAGAGATGTGGACGTTAGAACCAGAGACATGGACGTCAGAACCAGACACATGGACGTCAGAACCAGAGACGTGGACGACAGAACCAGAGACGTGGACGTCAGAACCAGAGACATGGACATTGGAAAAGAAGCTATATCGTAAAAATGTATGAAGAGGCCTCGTCCTCCTCCTCTTCCTCCTCCTCCTCCTCACCGAGTAACTGGACCCCCAGCGTGTCGGCGAGCCGCCGTGCTCCATCGGAGCCGAAGATGTGCGTCCGGTGGTCACATTTGGGACACTGGAAGACGCTCATGTTCTGCACCAGGCCGAGAACCTGCAGTGACCCCCCGAGGGTTAGACAACGTTCTGCAGGTGAATAACACACACACGCACACGCACACACACACATACAGACACACACACGCACACACACACATACAGACACACACACGCACGCACACACACACACAGACATACATGCACACACACACACACACAGACATACATGCACACACACACACACACACACGCGCACGCACACACACGCACACACACACGCACACACGCACACACACACGCACACATGCACACACACACATGCACACACACACACACATGCACACATGCGCACACACACATGCACACACACACACACACACACAGACACACATACAGACACACACACATGCACACACACACACAAACACACACACAGACACACAGACACACACAGACACACACACACATGAGGAGGATGATGGAGGAACTGGATGATTGACAGTTTGCATTTATGTATCATGCTTTTTATCCAGGTGACTTTCACAGCGTGTTTCTACTTTCTGTGTATCATTCATGGTGCGTTCATATAAAGGGCCTCCTTTTGATTCAGTTGAATATGATACGAAACACACAGACACAAGAAATGAATCAATGTTTACTACCCGAGGAGACAGAATGAGAAATAAAATGATGTCATCTTAAAACAAACGTACCTGTTTGTTCACATGAGAAGTGACTGCAGGCCTCAGTTTTTCCAGCTGTCCTGGTTTCCAGACCAGACTTCTGTGTTCATGACCACACGCACACGCACACGCACACTTCAACTTCCCACAGTTCATTTGCTCTACTTTAATAAAAATTATGTTAAACTCAAAAATGACTGCTTAATTCGTTTGTACACAATCATGCTGCTGTTCACGTAAAAAAAGGAAAATATTAAGTAAAATGCAAATGATATGAACCTAAAAATTCAAATAAAAATACATTGAAACAAGGAAAAAAATGTATTGCACAAAATAAATACGTTAAGGAACCCAGGTTCAGTTTTATCCTCACATAAACTGGATTATAAAGCTACTTAATTAAACAAATAAGTGCCAATAAAATAGAATAAATAGATAAAAACCAATACAGAAATGGCAAAAATCAGAAGTAAAAAATGAACTAGTAGTAAAAAAGTAGAAATCAAAATACTATAGTATATCTCCTTTTATAGTTTCCTCGGCTGAGCTTCATCTTCTCCACAGTGTCACGTTTAAAGAGAAGCTCCACATCTAGAAGAGTAGGAAGAGCTTCTTCTGAGCATGCGCAGCGCGTTCAAAGGTCACGTGGAGCGAACGTTCCTAAAACATCGTATGTGAGGTCGACCTGTGAGAACCAATGTAATCGGTGTAACGCGATGAAAACATGAGACAAATGAATCTGTTTTATTGGCTCACACTGCCGTCTGCTGTCACACAATCTCAGCGCTGTTCGTCTGTGTCGGGGACAGCAGGTCAATGTGAGGACATGTCCCTTAGAGGCTGGGGACATGAAAAAAGGCGCTCACTGATGGTCAGCAGCCTGGTGACCTTCAGCATACACAAGGTCACGTGACATCTCTATCGTAGATGTTCAAGTGGATTCAAGTACTTACAATCACACTGCACTGGTGTTATTGTGTCTTTATTATATTCACACTGATGCATGTTGGGAATATGAATCATATTTACTGGTTTAATCCCATCGGTGACGTCCCCCTGCTGGCCGGGACCAGTCACTGCACCACATGTTGTTTCCAATGAAAGTCATTTATTCACATTACAAACAATTATATTTCCATTAACCCAAAGTAATACGTGGAGGGACTAAACGTTGTACTATTACACTAACGGTAATAAAACAAGTACCTGATATTATCTGTCGTTAAACCTTCTTCAGAGGTTTGCTGACGCGTCAAACTGTTCTTGTTCAGAACAAACCGGATTATGTGAAATTATATTTGATGTAACTGAACATTTGATAAGATTTGAAGTTAAAATTGTCTCAAAAAGAATTACGTTACGTTCATATCTTACTTATTTTTGTCATTACAAACAAGGACAAGTTATCATGCAGAGACATTAGTCTTATATGGGGGGACAGATGACCTTTTTATAAAATGTCTTCTTGAACACTGTGACACATAAAGATTAAGATTAAACTCTAATTAGGACCAAACATCTAAATGATGATCTACTGATTCATCCACAGAGCTCAGCAACATTCAAACACACCTCGCTGAGCTCCTTCAGACCACAAGTCCCAGAGAGCTGTGGACCCCCAGAGTCCAGACCAGCTCAGGTACCCCTCACCTGCTCCACCTGCATCTACACCCACATGAACCACCATCAGCTGCACAGACTGAACTATGTTGTGAGCAGAGAGGAAGCTTCTCCACCAGGAGGAGACTCTCCCTCCTACAGAGAACACAGAGACACTGAGGAACCAGGACTGGACCAGAACCCAAACCCAGGATAAAGAGGTTCAGTGAATGTGGTGTTGAAGGTGTGGAGGTGGATCAGTGTGTCAGAGGAGACTATGAAGAAGGACAGAGAGCCAGCAGGCCAGTCCACATACACTGCTACTCTACCAGAGGAGGAGGAGGAGGAGGAGGAGGAGGATGAGGAGGAGAAGGAGGAGAAGGTGATGAATGTGTCTGTCTTATTGTGACAGACATAGTAACCTTTATCAGAGCAGCTCAGACTCCAGGAATGATCATTCTCTCCAAACCAACAGTCATCACTGTTTCCTTTCCTCTTGATTCCTCTGTAACTCACTGATACATCAACTCCTCCTCTCCACTCGACCTCCCAGTAACAGCGACCAGTCAGACCAGTTCTACACAGCAGCTGATAACAGGAGTCAAATCTGTCTGGATGATCAGGATACGACTGATCCTCCTCCACATATGTCACCTTCCTGTTGTTGTCAGACAGTTTGAGGTGTTTGTTTACTGTGTTTGTGTCGATTGTGAGTTCACAGGAATCTGATGAGAGAACAAGACACAATACAGCTGCAGTTATTAATCATGTGATCATCTACTGACACGTTGATGATGACGTCACAGAGGTGAATGAGTGATGTCACAGTGTGAAGATGGTTGAATCTTCATGAATCAAAGCTCACTTACACTTCCTCAGACCTGGTCTCAGCCATCGGACTCCATCAGGCTCCACCCTGAAAGGAGGAGGGGGGTCAGAGCAGCATGGAGACATGGACATTACATCACACACAGCTTTGTCCTTCATGTCCACATGGACCACCTCTTCTTCTTCTGATTGGCTGATGACCACAGCTCATCGTCTATTATCATCAGCATCATTCTGACCACCATCTTCATTTCACTCAGTTTCCTTCAGCAGTCAGTGAATCAAATGTTTAAACCTCATCAGGTGGTTTCTTTGTCCACTTGTGGTTCAGTGACAACAAGCTGTGAACACGACATGTGACATGTGACCATCTTCTGAAGTAGTTCTGTCTCACATGGAGCTTCAGTTCAGGAAGGAAGCCTCCCTTTACACCACCAGTGATCTGCGTCTCCCTCAGTCGCCTCCCAGCATCACGCCGTCATCTGATGGGGGCGTGTCCACGTTTAAACAACCAACCAGACGCGGCCCTGTGTCTCTAAACCAATCAGGTTGTTGCTGTCAGATGTCATTTCAGCTCAAAACCGGATTTGTAACCTTTTAACGGATTAAAAATATACTTTACCACACCGGGAAGGTAAATAAAAAGGACCTATTGAAGATGTGATGTGACAGATGTGGGAGTCAATCTTTAGAGGGTTTGATTGATGGTCGAAACGTTCAGGGTTCCTGCTTCTGTTTGCTGTTACAAACAGGGAAAATAATAATGATAATAACGTTCTCGTTTTCATCTTTTAATCACTGGATTCTTTTACGTTTTAACCGTTTTCCATCTCCGTACAGAAGGTTGGGATGCTTTAATCACCGTCATCTCCACCCTACAGGATCACCAGCGGGGCTCGTCACCAACATCTGGGAAACCTGTTCTGTCCATGTGTAAAATATCTGTAAATACTTCATCTATTTTGACAGTTTTTTGTGGGGATAGAGGGGAACCCCTGCGAGTGCAATTATGTGTAAAAATCAATTTATATGTTACTAGTGAAGAAATACATCAATATAACACACAACAATAAAGTTTGAATTTTGAGGGTCACTGTTGTGTTCTCTGTGGAGTTTTTAATTCATGACGTTTTGTTATTTCGGATTTACATGTGTGATCAAATGTTTACCTGCCAGAGCCATACATATAAATGCCAGTAACATATGGAGAAACTTTGAGGTAGCAGCGCAATCGTGTAGTGTCCCTTTAAGAGAGGAGTGTGCTGTGAGGTCACGTGACCAGTGTTTACTGAGTGAAAGGGAAGCGCGATTCACTTAATTGGTAACGACTTCCAACCCGGTGTGCAGCCACTTGGTAAGCGCTCTTGATTTCCTATGTTGTCTTGTCTCCTTTATAATGTACGCTTCATGTTGTCTGATGTCACCTTAATGTGTTGCTGCTGTGTTTACTTTCTTTGGCTTATATGTTTAAAGTATGAAACGCGGACTGGTATGTGACGTAGGTACTTCCTGGTTTGCCGTGGGGCATTTTGGGAGTTATAGTTTCCTGCTAAGGAAAGACTGCATGCATTGTGAAAGTGGTGCATAATGTTTGAATGTGTACATGCAAATAACGAAACTGATGATGGTGGATTATAGTATATTGATAATGTTTGTCTTTTTGAATAATGTTATTAAGATAAAGAACTGGACAGCTGTGTTGGTTGTGGTGTGCACATGGAAATTGAAGCATTGTATTTCTTATTATTCCAGGTTTTTTACCTGGTTCCCCCTTTTAAGAAATAAACGAACAAATGAGGAATCTTGAGTAAAGTCCTATGTATGCCGGGTTTCCCTTTCCGTGGGGAGAAAACGGAACAGTAAAAAACCAATGGTTCTGAGCACGTCAAGCTAAGTCCGCAACCGCCCTAGCAGCATTGACCAGCGAAGAAATGCCAAAGGAAGAGGAAAAGGCCGAATAGACCCCTCTGTGGAGCAGCGCCTCGGTCAGTGTCGGGAAAGGAAGATGGATTCAGCAGAA